GAGCCACGCCCCCAGCCCCTCACTGGGGGATTCTAGGCAGGGGCTCTACCACTGAGCCACGCCCCCAGCCCCTCACTGGGAGATTCTAGGCAGGGGCTCTACCACTGAGCCACGCCCCCAGCCCCTCACTGGGAGATTCTAGGCAGGGGCTCTACCACTGAGCCATGCCCACAGCCCCTCACTGGGGGAATTCTAGTCAAGGGATCTATGTCTGAGCACTATCACATCCCAAGCTTCCCTTCTCTCCATTCAGTCTCATTCTCTCTCTCTCTGTCTCTCTCTCTCTCTCTCTCTCTCTCTCTCTCTCTCTCTGTGTGTGTGTGTGTGTGTGTGTGTGTGTGTGTGTGTGTGTGTGTGTCAGGACCTTATACTAGTTAGACTAGTTTTCTCCCCCTAAGCTACAACTCCAACCTTTCCTTCATTTTCACTGTCACCCAGAATGGCCTCCAACAGTAGTGCCCCTGCTTCAGCTGTCTCTGTATTTAGTATTACAGACCACCACATTCGGCCTTTTCGCTCCAGGACTTCCTCTCTCCTCAGATATACCCTGTGAACAGTGGTGTGTGTGTGTGTCTGTCTGCGTGTGCTTGTGTCCCCCCACCCCCCCACCATCAGCCTGCCCAGCTCGGCATCTCTTTGCTCTGAGGAACTCTATACGCCTTTCACTCCCTCCCTCCCTCTTCCCTCCTTGGAAACCCGGCTACCTACCGAAACCGCTCCTGGCCAGCAGTGTCCCAAATCTGTAGCTTCACAGTCTTCCCCCCAACGTTGACCACCCTGGATCCAAACTCCACGCCGATAGTGTGGTTGGAGTCCTGTTTGACTGAGAGCAGGAGGGAAACGGGAAGCAGTGCAGGGGCTCCTCGAATCCCCCCATCCTGCAAACCTCCTCCTCCATTTCTATACCCCAATTCTTACTGCTGGGTTGGCAGAGAACTTAGCAAACACCATCCACCAAAGCTAGAGCCAAACCTATAGCACTAGCTTTATCCAATGGCATCTGCTACATACCCCACCGGCTGCCCACTGACCCACACCGTGGCCACATCTGCAGTTCCAGGATCCTGCCAAAAACTCACACTTATTCTCAATAAACTGATGGAGGAGACATGACTTGCCAGTTCCAGCACTGCCAATCACCAGGAATTTGAAGAGGAAGTCTGAACAGATGGCACCAAAGATATCCCAACGGAAAGGAATAAGAGAAGAAACAGAAAGTCAGAAGGAAAGATGCATACAAAAGTAGAAATACAGCCATGCATTTAAAAAAAAAAAAAAGCAAGACTTTTTTTTTTTTAAGTCTACAGTGCTGTGGCTAGAACTCAGGACATCCTGCTGCTAGCCAATCTAGCCCAAGAGATATATATATATATATATATATATATATATATATATATATATATATATTTTTTTTTTTTTTTTTGATACAGGGCTTCTCCTCTGTGTAGCCCCGTCTGTCCTAGAACTTAACTCTGTAGACCAGGTTGGCCTGAAACTCAAAGATTCCCCTGGGTCTGCCACCCAAGTGCTACGATTAAAGGTTGCCCGTTAATTAAAGGTTCAAGATGACTCTTCTCTTCATTATTACTGACGTTCAAAACAAAGTTTCACTATGTATTCCAGACTGGCCTAGCTGTCCTCAAACTCCAAGCACTCCTCCTGCCTCAGCCGCTGAAAGGCTGAAAGACTGTACTGTCGTCCCCTGTATTTCTTTCTTTCTTTTCCCACTCAGGGACTCATTGTGTAGCACTATCTGGTCTTGAACTCCAATCTTCCTGCCTCAGCCTCCCCACTGCTGGGATTACAGGATGTGACAACACACTCTACTTTTCTTTCTTTCCTTCTTTCTTTCTTTCTTTCTTTCTTTCTTTTCAGTTTTTCAAGACAGGGTTTCTCTGTGTAGTCTTTCTTTTGTTCTTACTTTAAGAGTATTACTCTGTATTCCAGGCTGACCTCTAACTTGAAGCAGTTCTCCTGCCTCAGTTTCCCAAATGTGAGGGTTATAGCACACAGGATTATTCTTATATAGTGATTACCATATACATGCCCATCATGGTCCTAAAGACTCATTTAACTATAAATGAAGCTCTAAAGAAGGAATGGTACAGCTTAGGAGATGGCTCCGCGGTTGAGAGCACTGTCTGCTCTTCCAGAGGTCCTGAGTTCAATTCTCAGCAACCTCATGGTGGCTCACAACCGTCTGTAATGGGATCTGATGTCCTTTCCTGGTGTGTCTGAAGACAGCTGCAGTGTACTCATATACATTAAATAAATATTTTTTTAAAAAAGAGAGAAGGAAGTATACTAAGTACTTCTACTTTCCAGACTAGGGAAATGAGGCCAGGGAGGTTAACTGACCTACCTGAGACCACACAGCTAGGGACAGCTAAGACACAAACCCAAACTACAATGCAAGACCTTGGCTGGTGCATTTCAAAAGCCGTTTCAACAAGAATTATATCTGGCCTCCATTCCTCTTCACTTCAACTCCTACCACCCTCTCACTCATTCACTCTGTCAAGGCCTCGACACTGGGCCTATTTCCTAAACTGCTTACCTCCTCTGGTAACTGTGCACCGGATTCTTTGGCTTTTCTGAGTGTTGAATGAATGGAGCTGTGTCTGACCGTTGTCAGAGCTGTGTCTGCCCTCCAGCCTCCCTCTACCCACCTGATACTGTACATCCATATTGACTGCCTAACTCTGAACCTCTTCTCCCCATCCTCTGTCCAGGACCCCTGGCTTCTATCCTTAAACTTATGCCACATCCCTTGACACTAAGTTTCAAACCTATAACTCAAGCACATCACTCCAGCCCTCTCAAACCAGATCAGCCCCAGAGGGTGTGCAGGGTCCACAGCATCTGTGTGAGGCTCTCCCTGGAATCCATAAAACCTGACCCTAGCTAGTCACCGTCAGCCCCGCCCTATCCACTCAAGCTCCGCCCAGGAAGACTTGCTTCCCTATTCAAGGCCTACCTTCTGCCCTAATCCACCATGACTAGGTCCCTCAAATCCCGCCCTAGATCTTTTTAACCCGTAAAGCGGTCTCTTCAAGCTCCACCCAAATCGATTAAGCTCAGCCCCAGACTCACTTAGCCCTGCCCCGTATCCCGGCAGACCCCGCCCACCTGAACAGAAAGCCCCGCCCCACTTCCACATCCACATCCACTACGAGCCCAGCCCCCCGCCTCGGCCCACCAGCCTCACCGTAGGTCTCGGCCATGGCTCGATGGCGACCGCTGAGGGCCGCAATATGGCGCCGCGGCCGCGCCTGTTTCTCGGCTGGCAGCCGCTCCGCTCGGGCTGCAGCCTCAGCTCCTTTCCACTCCTGGACCCGGCGCCGCCACTTCCGCCTTCACCCCCCCCCCACTCCCGCGCGAGCCTCCGGAGCTGCGGATACCAGGCCACGCTCGCCCAACACAGGGATTGGTGGATTCAGGAGGCAGTGGGTGGGACAAGCAGCGCGGATTGGCCGCACGAGAGGGGCCGAGTCCAAAGGGGCGTGACATAGAAGAGCCATTGGTGGAGCAAGTGGGAGAGGGGAGAGGCAGAGATATTGCGCCCAGCGGAGGAACGGATTTGGTCAAAAAAAAAAAAAAAAAAATCGGGGAGCAGAGACTCCGGATTGGTTTAGACGTAGGCATGGGGGCGGGGACACGAATGCCAAGAAGGGGCAAGGGCAGGATGAACAGAGTTGGAAGAAGGGATCTCAAGCTGCTGGGTGTAATTTCTAACCCCCACAGAGGAAAGCTGAAAGGACACGCACACATTGATCCCCATCTGCAAGAAAACCTCTGCTGCTTGGGCATGGTGGCGCATGCTTCCAACCCCGGTACTCAGGCGGCAAAGGCAGATGCATCGCTGAGTTCGAGGCCATCCTGGTGTACATAGTGAGTTTCAAAACAGTCAGGGGCTACATAGAGAAACCCTGACTCAAAAAAAAAGAGGAGGAGGAGGAGAAAAAGAAAAGGAAAAGAAAAACGTCTGTGCGATCGATGCGCTTCTCGGGATCTAACTGGCTCATACCAACAGTTCAACTCCCTTCTAAAGGGAGGAAAGCGTACATATATTGTACTGTTTATTCCCTTGCTTGAGGGTCCCAAACCTTACCTTGAGCAAAGAGCTTGCAAAGTGAAACTCTGCCTAGTAACCACTGACGTTACAACATTCAGGGTATTAATTGGCTAGATTCAGAAACCTGTGAACCATTCTTTGTACATACCCACCCAACTTCAAAAATCAAAGCGACAAAATAGTTTGCAGTTGGCTGTTTTATTTGCATAGGGTCAGAAGGGTAATTGCGTTATACAGTTGGCTGAGCTCACTGGCAGTAGAAATCCCATTTCTGAAAAAGAATATATAGAAAACCAACCAGTGATCACATTCCAATGCATCTAGTGGTTCTAACAAAAGTTATAGCTGCCAAGGACTAGGTTTGACCATACAGAAATGAACAAATTAGCGTTGAGTCCTGTACCCTCTCTCATTTCCCAATTAGAAATCACTCAGCATTGGAGGCTAGTGATTTTGAGGCCAGCCTGGATACATACCAACAACAAAAATAATTACTTCTCGTAAACAGGTAAGAAAATAAAGGACCCATCATCCTACTTCCATCTCCACCCCAAGACACTCACATCTGTCTTCATATCAATTTTGCCAGGTTTCAGAGTCAGGTCCTCCCGGACAATGCTACTGGGGAAATAGCCCAGGCGGGCTGCCAGGTCTCCATAGTAATCTCCCTGAACCTGGAGAAGAAGTTAAAAGTCCATCTGGGGAAATGGCACTTAGGCTGGCTGAACGCCTGTGTACAATCTTCTCTCTGACTTGAATCTCAGCTTAAATCCCTTCTGCTCATGGATAGAATGTAACCACCACAACTAATCCTCAGAATGCCATGTTTGCTGGGGCTTTTCATGGCTTGCTGGTTGCCTGCCTCTACCCCTTAGAATTGTTCACTGTTTTATCTAAGGTCTGAAAAAGAGCTTTGGCACCAAGCTTCCCTGTAATTTCTAAAGTAAAAATGCAGTAAGTGATAAAATATCCTTCCTCCCCCTAATCTTGTTTTCCCCTCTCCCCAAATTTTCCCTTCAGATGGAAAACAAGACTTTACACCCAAAACAACCCCAAACCCTTCCCATTATTACTCTCTGAAGACTCACACTGCCTCCCCAGAAGAGTCGCCCACGGCCCTTTAACTTGGAGAAGACATACACCACTTGGCCCCTGTATATAGTCAAGAAGCGGCAATCAGGGGCCACGTAGTCCTGAAGGGCCACAGCCATGGAGATAGGATCTGGGGAGGGAGAAGGAAATGACAAAATGACAGCAACTTCAAAACAGACCAACAGTCCAAGCCTTCAGCCCCCTTCTCTTGTTCCCTGACTCTTACGGCTGCATTCCTCATCTGCACACAGCTTCCGGTCAGCCAGCTTGGGCATGGCTCGATCAGCCCTGCTAGGCTCTGAAAAAATAGACAAGATGACGATGCCAAGGAGCACTGGAGACCACGCCATCATGGACCGAGATGAGAATAACCAAGTGAAGAACGGGTCTCCAGGCTCCTCCTGCCTTCCCTCTGGGCTGAGTATCAAAGAAACCTGTGTTCTTGATCCCATCTCGGCCCCAAACCAAATTTCACCCCCACCCACTCCCCAAGGTTGTCCTCCAGCCTGTACCATCTCAGAGAGAGGGTAAGGGCTATGGGCCAAAGAAAATGTCCACTTGAGCCCAAAGCAATCCAGACGACTCCAAGTACCAGCCATCCCCTGGATAACCAGAGACCCAGATAGGCAGGCTGGACTATCGAATTCCACCTTCAAGTCATTTTAGGTACCTGGACCCTCCAGAGACCGAGCTAGAGAAGCCAGTATAGAAAACCACCCTGGAATTTCCTGTGCTGAGGTCTGAGAACAAGGCAGTTCTTTGATTAGTAGCCACAGACATGGTTCCCCATTACTGAGCAAATTCTCGGTGTCTGGCCTCAGGCTAGGCACTGTCCCACCTGGCTCACTGGAAGCTAAGCTATCCTAGCTTCTGAGGTTCAATTCCCTCATCTATAAAGAAAGCAATGAAAGCAAACAAAAAATATCTATCAAGTGTTGTTATTGGTGGGATTTTTTGTTTGTTTTATATGATTGTTCTGCTGAATACATGTCTGGGTACTACATGTCTGCCTAGTATTTTTAATTTTTTTTTGGTTTTTCAAGACAGGGTTTCTGTGTAGCCCTGGCTGTCCTGGAACTCACTCTGTAGACCAGGCTGGCCTTGAACTCAGAAATCTGCCTGCCTCTGCCTCCCAAGTGCTGGAATTAAAGGCATACACCACCACTGCCTGGCGTACCTGGTATTTTTGAAGGCCAGAAGAGGGCATTGGATCTTCTGGAACTGGAGCTACAGAACTAAGGTGCTAGGAATCAAACCTGGTTCATCTGGAAGATCTGCCTGTGCTCTGCTCTTAACTGCTGAGCCATCTTTCCAGCCCACTCTTTTTTCTTAAGACGGTTCTACTATATAGCCCTGGCTGGCCTGGAATTCCCTATAAAGACCAGGCTGGCCCCAAACTCAGAAGAGATCAACCTGCCTCTGCCTTCCCAGTCCTGGGTAAGACATACACCAGCAAATCATTCATACACACACACACACACACACATACTCACTCACATATATGTGTGTATAACATCATATGTGTGTGTGTGTGTGTATATATATATATATATATACATACACACACACACACACACATATATATACACAATCATATGTATATATGTATCAAGGATGATCTGTATTGGAATGTATGTCTATGGTAACTGAACCAGGAAGGGGAACAAGATTTATCTCAGGGTTTCTGAGCATCACTGCTACCTGACCTGACATGGCTCTCAGAAGGAGCAAGCCATCAACAGATATGCAGGGAACAGAGGCCCAGAGGGCATGTTTAGTGACCTCACAAGGATGCAATCAACAGACAGAGGCTGAAACTATACCTTAATGTTTGTGGTAGTTTGGATGAGAGTAGTCCCAATAGGCTAATATATTTGAATGTTTTGGTTCCCAGTTGCTGGAACTGTTTGGGAAGGTTGGGAAGTCTGACCTTGTTGGTAGAGCTGTGTCACTGGGTGTGAGCTTTCAAATTTCAAAATCTCAAGCCAGGCGCACGCACACGCGCACACACACACACATGCACGCACGCACACAGACACACACACACACGCACACAGACAGTCCCTCTCACTGCCTCTTCTCATCAGATTTAAGCTCTGAGCTATTGCTTTAGCATTGGACCTGCCTCTGCCATGCTGTCATAATCACCATGAACTAATCCAAAAGAGACTGTAAGCAGGACCTCAAGTAAATGCTTTCCTTTTCATTTTAGTTCTGGTGTCATTTCATACCAATAAGACAGGAATACAGTGGCTGAATGCCTGATAGACTTGGGTTCCCAAGTCAAAAAATAATGTATGATGATTTATAACTAAAATATATGACAGGGGCCCAGGATGGAGCTTGTCTAGTATGCACAAAGCCCTGGGTTCAATGCCCAGCACCACAAAAATTAAAACAGTAGAGACCAGTGTAAAATAAGAGCATAGGAGGGGATATTTCCTTAAGAAGTTTTGGCCACAAGTTAATAAATGAAGTTGGTGACAGAGAATGTGAGATAGCATGTTGTCTTCATGTTTTAATTTCCCAATTTAGAGTACATCAAAGTGTTTCTTTAGGCAGATATTTCACTGTAAATACTAATTTTAAATCTTGGCACTGTGAAGATTCATCAAGGAATGAGAATCTGAAGGCCTCTGGGAGACAACTAACAAATAAATAGGGGACTAAATGTAGCTCAACTGGTAAGACTCCTTGGCCTGGCATCCGTTGGGCCCTGGGGTCTACCCACAGGCACTAAATAACCTGTACCACTTATAATCCCAGAACTATCGATGCAGAGGTTAAGAGGACAGAAGTTCAAATTCACATGCTTGTCTAAAAAACAAAAAAAAACAAAACCCACACACACAAAAATCCCACAGGGCCTGGGGTGGTTAACATTTGCTGCTGTTGCAGAAGACTCAGGTTAAGTTCCTAACACCAATATGGTGGGGACTCACAGCCATCTGTAACACTAGTTCTAGGGGATCTGATACTTTTCTGACCTCTGTGAGTTTACACATGATGCATAAAGATACATGAAGGCAAAATACTCATATATATATATATATATATATATATATATATATAATTAAAAGTAAGTTCTAACCCTGTCTCGAAAAACCAAAACCTTAAAAAAAAAAAATTCCAATATAGGGAACTGTATGCTCAGTATTAAAAGCAATTTGGAGATATAAAGGATATCTCATCTGCATAAGCACATGTAAGGCTGAGAATTCGGCCTAGACAAAATAAACAGGCCGGTATTTAGAAAGTACACTCACCATACTGTCTTACTGTAGAAATGTCTCTATTGCCCCCAAACTCAATTTACTTAAACTCACTCTGTGTTTCCAATGTACTCGGTGCCAAAACACTTACCTGACGGGTGTGGGCTTAAGTTTGGCGCCCATAACAGCAAAAATATTACCATTAGGTTTTGATGGGTCAGAAACCTCGGAGCTGTTTGTCTGACTTTTACATCTGAGGCTACAATCAACAGGCCACAAAATCCGGAGCTTTCATCTGATGGTTGGATTTGAGGAAGGTCTGCCCCAAACCCCAGAAAATGCTGAAGCGCCCAATGGCTTGTAGAGATTGGCCTGTGGATGGCTGTCTGCATTGACAGTAGACTATGGGGGTAGGAAGAGGTAATATGCAGGACGGCCGACTCAGACCTCTGCCCAGCCTAGTTTTCTGTGTGCGTGCGTGTGTATGTGGGGGTTCTGTCTGAATGTGTGCTGTATGCATTCACTCGGATCCCCTTGGAGTGGAGTTACAAGTTGTGAGCTGACATATGGGTGTTGAGAATCTAACTCTGGTCTTCTGAAAAGCAGCCAAGGCTCTTGACCACCAAGTCACCCCCCCACACCCAGTCCTCCCAGCTCCTTGCCACCTGCCAAAGCCAACAAAAGGCAGCCTTTGTCTTTAATAACACATATAACATTTCATTTTTATCATCCAGAAACCCTTCACCATGCTTATCCACCCTTTGACTTACTATGGTTTCAGATACCCCTCCTCCCTGGTCTGGAACTAGGTGTAATCTGTTAATTATAAACTTCATGTCATTTTGAACACTGCACTGAAATCTCACCCACTTCCATTTCATCACATTTTTTCCAGTGTACCCATGTTGCATATGTCAACCACACACCATCCATGTAACCAGACCAAGACTCTCATGGCTTGTGTCCAAGTCATCTTATCGTACTTAAGGGACTCAAAGCACAGTGCTAATGATACTGTCTACTCATGGATGTGAAAGAAACAAGTGTAATTTTTATTTATATATCTATATTTTTTTTCTTTTAAATACACACAACCTATAGTTCCAGCATCTGGGAGTCTGGGGCAGGAGGATTGTGAATTTGAAGTCAACCTGGAATGTACATAACACATCAGGGAAAAAAAATGTTTTTAAGACTTTATGTTTAGGTAGGTAGGGGATGGGTGTATGTGCATGTGAGTGCAGTCCCTGTGGAGGTCAGGAGAGGGCAGCAGATCCCCCTGGGACTGGAGTTATAGACAGCTATGACCCCGACTGGGCACCAGGACCAAACTTGGGACATCAGAAAGAACAAGTCTCCTCTCCATCCTCAAACCTACCCCACCAGGGGTGGGGACAGGACAGTACATTAGCCAAGAGGTTTTGTGCTTTCTGCAAAGGATGGGGGGGGGGTGTGTGTGTGGAAATAAGACTGAAATTATGAAAAAAAGTTGCTAGTTTTACTATCACACCTCCAACTGCCAAAGTTCCAGGCATTACATGTAAGGAATGCTTAGCTGAGACGGGAGAAGCTGGACGTGGTGGGAGATGCTGATCAACAGCTCCAGTCAAGAGGGGTTCAGCTCAGCTACAGTGAGTTGGGGTTTATACACTAAGACCCCACCCACCTCAAAAAAATGGAGATAGGAAAAAGTACTGTTAGCCTGGTCTATAGAGCCAAGTTCCAGGACAGCCAAGAGAAGCGGGGGGGGGGGGGGGGGGGGGGGGGAGAGAGGGGGGAGAGACACACACACACACACACACACACACACACACACACACACACACACACGGCATGACTAGAGTCATGTTAGAGGATGGGGACTAACCCCATGCACACTTCACTAAGATCCATGTGAGCAGAGCAGCTTCCAGTACCCAGCATCTCACCAGAGGAGCACAAGGCTACCTGGCATGGTGGGCCTCCCCCTCCCGACCGTCTCCCGACTTCCTTCAGAAGTGTACTGGTGGCAGCTGCAGCAGCTCTGGGCTCCCCGGCCACTCTACACTGCTGCACTTTCACTCTCATTTTCTGCCTTGCTGAAGAGAAAACCGGCTCCAGAGTTTGGTCACTTGACAGGGTTGGAGCAGGTGATTTAAGAGTATTCTGACCTCTGAGCTGGCCAGGTCACTGATCAGTCTTAGAATCCGGGGTGAAGACGAAACTGAACAAGTATCCAGCAGCTCGCACTAGGAGAGCCTGAGAGCTCCACCCTGAGACACTGCATCTCAACTTTACCTCCAGCATCCTAACTGTTCCCAGCTCCTCCACACCTATCACAGCAGCACAGGCTACCAGAGAACTCAGGGTAATTCCCGTCTCACTCACCCTTCTGGATAGGACCAAAGGCCAAGCTAGCAATGTTGATTTTCACTTCCAAGTTTTATTCAGTATGTACTGAATCTGTTGAGTGCTAGCTAAGTGCCTGTCTGTGGGGACAGTGCGGACACCTGTTTGTGGGGACGGTGCTGACATTATGATCATGGTATTAATAGAGGACCTCTTTTCACACAGGAAGAAAACAAAGCTCACATTGGGGACACTAACTGCCCACTGGGTGAGGGACAGACATCCCAACCTGCAAACCAGAAGGGGCTGACCACAGCATCCACGTGACACAGCCACTAGGCCAATGTGGAGAGGTATCCTCTCCCCTGGCTGCAATGTGTGTGTGTGTGTGTGTGTGTGTGTGTGTGTGTGTGTGTGTGTGAGAGAGAGAGAGAGAGAGAGAGAGAGAGAGAGAGAGAGAGAGAG